GTGGAGGGAATAGTGGAATGGGAGCAAGTCAGACAAAGAAAGAAAAACAGCAAATAAAAATTCATGTAATCAAGCCAATTGCTGAAGAAATAACCAGACCTTAAACCTTCTGGGGAAATTCTTGGGATCTATGTGGAAGGCATATATCTGAGAGTTATCCCACCAAGGGAGCAAGGATGCTGAGGTATTTACAAGGCAACTTTCATCAGTCACTGGTTGAAGGCTGCTCCCCAGGGCTGTGAATTCACTAGCACTTTCAGCTTGTCTTGCCAAGAGGCAGAGAAATGCAGGCCATGTCAACTGAGTGGTAAGGGCAAGAAGATGTGGGGACAGTGACAACATCTGCTTTGGTGTACTCCTCACACTACTGAAATCCACTCATTACCCACATTAAGTTCTCTGAGTCTTTTCATTGATTCTTCAAGGTGATGCCTGGTCAAAACATCTTATAAAAAATGTGTTATTGTAGTAGAGTTCACGGGACAAGCTAGAGTGTCCCCTACTGCAGTTATTCCTGAGTCTGCAAGTGATAATCATCATTACTTCCCTCTGCCACTTATTCCAACTTTCCCTCACCCTCAACTCACCCGACTGATATATGTTGCTTGCCCGGTGGAGTCCTTGAGGAGTTGAACCCTTGGCTACCATTCCCTTATCAGAATGTTGTTACTTCTATAACCTCTTTATGGTTTTTTTTTTTAAGATTTTATTTATTATTCATGAGAATACACAGAGAGGAGAGAGAGAGAGGCAGAGACACAGGCAGAGGGAGAAGCAGGCTCCATGCAGGGAGCCTGATGTGGTATTTGATCCCAGGTCTCCAGGATCATGCCCTGGGCTGAAGGCGGCGCTAAACCACTGAGCACCCCCCAACCCCAGGCTGCCCCCTGTTTATGGTTATTAACATGCATGCGGGCATCAAGAGATACCCTGGTGAATCCCTTGAGCCACAGACATACTCTTCCCTCCTCCCCTTATGCAGTAGCAACTCCAACTCCTCAATAGTAATTAGGCTTCATTACTCTTCCCAGTATAATAACTCCTTTCTTTGCCTGTGTAGGCTGCTGGCATTGGAAGCCACAAATGACTGTAGCAGGTATAATATTAAGTTTCGTGGAATTCTGGATGGTGCTCCTGTAGAGGTGTGCATACGCCAACTCACCCCACCATGGAAACCAGGACCTCCACTCCTACATGGCCTATGGGGAGTTATGGGAATAGAAAACACAGATTCCCCAAGGGGATCATCAGGAGCACCAGTGAGAGGGGTCCCTGGTACTTTTACTATTGACACCCAGACTCATGTAGCTTATCTGTTAGGGACATAGTACCATATAACTGCTATTGGCTCAAGGTAAATATCAAATCCTGAAGAATAATTCCCAAATACTGTTGGGTATTATCCCCAAGCTGTGCATTTTAGCGTCCATTTGAGTGATTTTCTGCTTTGACAGCATCTCTTTGAAACATATATGGTAGGATCAGTAAATCCCATGGTCATGCAGTCTGACCTACTACAGAGCCTTCTCTTGCCCTGTGCCTCATGCACAGCCATGGTTGGAAGTCAGGCTGGTGTATACTGATTGAGCTAAGATTTTTTTTTTTTGTAACTTTCTCCTGCAGTATGATTTCATACTAAAAAATTGCAGTAATTACAAGTGTACTACCTGATGAGTTTCCATAAAGTAAACACACCCAAATACAGCTCAGATTTTGCATGATGATTCTATAAAAATAATTTGTTAGTTTCATAACCAGTAATGATTGAGCTCTATTATTATATCACTCCTTACTACCAGGACTTGAAAAATTCTTTAGGCTAATTCATGCCCCAGAAATGTACTACTTATTAGAGCATAAGCCTAATAAAACCCACCCATAAATTCATTCTGTCTCCTAATACAAGCTTTATGAGTTCCAGTGGATTTATACATTTTTGTTCTCTTTTTTGTATTATCGTGGAATTCAACATGTACATATTTGAAACATATATATAAAATATATATGTGTATAAAATTTCCCTTTCTGTCATTTTTTGTGAGGCTAATCTCACTTTCACAGCTCCACCAGCTCAAAGGATGAGGGAACATATGCTTCTCCATATGCCTAACACAGACTCCTCAATGCATTTATTACTCGGAGCTTAGTGATTGAGGAATGTTTGTAATATTTTATTTTTCCTCATAGTGAGTCATTCTACTGTACATTTCAAAATCTGTGATAAGCTGAAAGATCCAAGAATTGAGGTACATTTCAACAAACAGCTTCCCATCTGGTAATTGAGAGGTTTTATTTATAACCAGGTATTCAGAGGCAGTGGTATGAAATGACCTTCCTATTATTTTGTTTTATTACATGTCTAAAGGGCTAAGCAAATACAGTCACCCCCTCCAATCCATTCCCCACACTCTACCCAGATACGGAAACTCATCTACCTTAAACTCTTCAATTCCCACTTTGGCTAATGAGGCCCTCCATGATCTGGTCCTGTCTCCTTCCTCAGATTGTCTTTCAACAACCCCCTCCCCTCTTTTCTACACTCCATCAAACTGGGTCTTTCAGCTTATTAAATGTATCCTTAAATCAATGCTCAACTCAAGCAAAATATAGAGGTAGGAAATGTTTAAAAATTAAGTTGCAAAAAAAAATTAAGTTGCTTTTAATATATAACTTACTACCAACTAGCTGCTTTTTATCTATTGGACCTGAAGTAAGTTTCTAGAAGTCAGCACTTGGGATTTAGGAAACGATCAGGGACAGCCGTTGTGAGGATCTGCTTTGGTGTTTCAGTCCAAAGGGCTCACCTAGTGGACTCTTCCTTGGGTAATATATTTGGGACTTTGGCCAGAGCCAGACCAATCTGAAAGTACCCAAAGTATGGAGTTGATTCCTCTGGTATGAGAATTAAGTTTAAGCCTGTCACCTTTCTCTTCACCACCCACCACTGGCAGGAGTTTGCCTAGCTCACCTTGACCCACTAATTAGGAGTTTCTGTTTTTTGTTTGTTTTTCTTTTTTTTAAGTTTATCTGTTTTAAGTTAGGTTGTCAGAGAGTCTCACTTGGGAAGTTTGAGTTGGTCTAAAGTTCATGCAAGGCTGAAGGATTTTGAGCATCATGATGTTGTGAGATGTACCAAATACCAAGCCAAGCCAAACCAAGGGGAGGTGCCTTGAAATTTCATCTTATATCTTCAGATCCTCTGACTTTTGCTTAAATCAGCCTTTTGACAAAGTATCCTTTTTTTTTTTTTTTTTTTTTAAGAGTTTGCCTACCCATCTGTGAGCATGAGTCAATCAGCTCACATTTACAGAGCCCTTAAAAGTGCTTGGTCTACTGGTAGGAGCTTTGGGGTGTAAAGCAAGTGTCCTGACAAGGCTTGACTCTGAGTGGACAGATAAAGCTTTAATTGGTGGAATAATAAAGTGCTAAGATGTTAATAATTGCCATAGGTGCTTTAATTCCAAGTGAGAAAGACTCCTATGCAGAGAAATTTTTAGTGAAGACTACACAGAGAAAAGTACATTTTTTTTTCCTGCAAATTGAAGGATGCATAGGATTCAGATAAGCAAAAGGTTGTGGGGAGTTCGTTGCATGGGTGCCAGCCACTGTGCACCCGTCTTGGCACAAAGGTACAGAGGGAGGAGGAGAAATTATACTAATTAGTTCTGGCCCTTCTGCCCCTGCTCCCAAAAGCACTGCTTACCACAGTGGTTCTCACACCTGAGTGTGCATCAGATTCTCTTAGAGGGGGCTTGTTAAAACACAGAATTCTGAAACATACACACACACACAGACACACACACGCACACCACAGATTTCTGGGACCCACCTCAGAATTTCTGATAGGATGAGAAAGCCTGGGACTTTGGATTTTTGACAAATTCTCAAGTGATGCTGCTGCTGCTGGTGCATGGCCCAAGCTTTGAAAACCACTGGCTAGGCTATGCTGATAACTGGATGGTTCACCACTCAGTAAATGTCATCTGGAAATCATGCTGCAAATCATCTCTCTCAGCAACATCCTTTGTTCTGCTTCTTTCTGCTCCCTAAGCATATGGTGTTCTTATTCACACCTTTCCATTTGAGTCACATCGTTCCTTCCCAATGCTACCCTATTCCCACAACCCTTATGGTCGCAACCAGATTGAGTTCCATCATTTCCTGCCTTTTCAGTCGTAGTGGTTGTAAGCCGATTTCAGATGTTGTGATCGTTAGCCAATCTAAACTTCGAAATCTTAGAAGGAAAAAGTGAATAATGTTATCAGTTTTCAGTTTCTACTTTTACTTCCTTATCTCTTGCCAGTTCATTGGTAAATTAATGTAGTAATGTGGAGGCCTGATTTTGATTTTCTATTCAACACTGATGATCATTTCCCAAATAGAAGCTTATTTGCCTTGGAATTGTTTCTCTTTGATGAAATGATTACCCAAGTAGGTAGCAGTATGACTGTTAGAGTGGTTCTGATAATTGCATGTTGATTTAAGGCTTTATGTATTAAATAATTAGATTACGGTGACCCTTGGCGGAAGCTTTGAATTCTTTGAGTTTTATCAGCAATCACAGTGCATGGCAAATTACAAAGTAGTCAAAAGCCACTGTAACTTTCTTTTCATGAATAATGAAAGGAGTTAATAGCACATAGTAGGCTCTCATGTACTTCATGAATGAACAAATAAATGTATTTAAAATAAATGCATAAATAATTTTAATTTGCTCCATGAAACAAAACCAGACATAGTCTTGTAAAATATAGGCATGGTTATTTTGTATCAGTCTTAAATTTGGCAGGCTACCAAATGTTAATTTGCTTTTAGCTAGTTGAGATTAAATGTAATTCCTTCCCAGAGCAACCCTAAAGTAAGCAAGCATGAAAGCATTTTCAGAGTAATCTGGGAGGAATTGACATTTAAGGGAGTTAGCATTACATCTGTACTTTAAGGCTATTAATTTCATAGATAAATTAACTTCATTACTCTATCTTTATCTTGCATTTTGAAAGGGCTCCATCATCTGGACGACTAACAGCCGAGGGTCAATTGAAACTGCTCTTATCCCAGCCAGGTTGTAATTGGAACCTGCTTCTGGAAACCCTACTGCATCACGATGGTCTTTTACTAAGAATCTTGCTGAAGAGCTCAAGTAAGTATTTGTAGTTATGAGACTGTCCTCAAAAAACCCAGTCATTGCTCAAGTTGAATGATTTTTTTTTCCTACTTGAACATTGGCAGAAGGATGGCAAGCAACGTATCCTATCAACCGTCTGTAGGGTTAGCAGCAAACAAAATACTGAATCACTTTATGTACCTATGGAAAAGATTCTTTTTCAGGACCTCTGAATGAGGGAAAATAATATTTTTATGTGGTGCTAGTCTATCATAACTATCATTGCCTAGAAACAGAGTAATATCTGGGGTTTGAAACGCCTAAGAAAATTATACAAACATATGCCCAAAATAGGAGTCTCAACCAGATCTATGAGAGATTGGGAGAGAGAGAGAGAGAGAGAGAGGAGAGAGAGAGAGGAGAGAGAGAGAGAGAAGGAGGGAGAGAGGGAGGGAGGGAGGGAGGGATATTCCATGAGAACTACACTAGAATTTTCAGTGGATCATGAAGAGGGCTGATGTAATTTATAAACAAGCAAGCTGAGGCTTACAGCCATATCCATTGGGGCATGGAGAAGTAATCATGGGAAAAGTATGAATGGAAACTGTAGAGTAATAGAAGACCATACTTCTCTTAATTAGACTTTCTTTTTATCACTGGAAGTTCTATTTTAGAAAATGGTAAGTAAAGTTATGCCAATCTAATTATATTCCACTACTCTCCTGATATATTTATGAAGAGTTTTCCAACCGTTTTCACATTCCCCTACACATTGCTCCTATTCTATACCATCCACGAGGCCAGATTAACTTTATCAATCACTAGCTTCACTGTAAGCTTCCCGAATCATAATCTTTTTTGGTTCTAGCTCACTGTCCTCTGTAGGGCTAAATTCCCATCCTTCTACCATTCAAATGTGACCCTCGACTAGTTTTCTTACCCCTTTTTCCCGCTATTCGCTTGCATGTTTGTACATAGACACACACGTACACACACTCATTTCAGCCTTTGTCCCTGATGTTCCATGCACATGTTCCCTCAGCCACTTGTGGGAGCTGAGCCGCTTTTGGCTCAGCCACTTTTCCTGCTTGAAAGACCCTCCACAGACAACTCAGTCTCCACCAGTATCCAAGGACCACTTGGTGTTCCAGATCTTTGAACACCGTAGTTCACACTGATCTCTTCCTCACCTCAACTTCACAGTGTTCATTACCTTGGCTGCCTGTGTGTCCTTGGTATTATGCTGCCTTATGTTGTTATTTTGTTTGCATGAAATGAAGCAAATGTCCCCAGACCCTATCAGCCTGTTGCTATACAAATGAGGCTCGTGGTATTCTTCTGTTCAAATGGCTCCAGTCATTTCTGGAAATTTTTGGTTTCTTAGATCTGCTCACAACTGGTTCCCCATTATTCTCCTCTCCTGTCCACCTTGATGGTTGGTTCCCAAAAGCCTCAGGGGAGGTGCTTCAGTTTGATCTACTCATGAGAATATTGCTTCTCCTCACATGCTCTCAAATTCATAAAATCTTGGGTGCCAAAGGTCACTACAACTCCTCGTCTCGCTGTGTTCCAGGCAGAAATTCATAGACTGCCTCTCTGGATCCCTGAATCTGACCCTATTCCCTTAGCCCCCAATCAGTATTGTTTGTGCCTCAAATCTCATGAAGTTGACCTGAAAGCAATTTCTTTAATTTCAGGCTGTAAGGCCACTCTTCTAAAGAGAAAATGGGCACTAAAGAAGCTACCTCCTCACGTAGTCAACTTTCATTGTTTGCTCTTTAGGTGTCAGGCACTGTGCTAATAAGCACTTCACACTCGATTCTTTTTTTTCCTTTTCTTTTTAAAAATTTATCACGAGAGAGAGAGCATGCATGTGTGCACTTGTGTGAGGGGCAGAGGGAAAGGGAGAGAGAATCCCATGCAGGCTCCACACCCAGTGCAGAACCCTATGGGGGGCTAATCTCACAATTCTGAGACCATGACCTGAGCTGAAATCAAGAGTCAGATGCTCAGCTGATGGAGCCACCCAGGTGCCCCCACATTTGATTCTTATAACCTAATGAAGTATTTACTATTGTTTTCCTCATATTAAAAATAATGACATTGGGGATCCCTGGGTGGCGCAGCAGTTTGGCGCCTGCCTTTGGCCCAGGGCGCGATCCTGGAGACCCGGGATCGAGTCCCACATCAGGCTCCTGGTGCATGGAGCCTGCTTCTCCCTCTGCCTGTGTCTCTGCCTCTCTCTCTCTCTCTCTCTCTCTCTCTCTGTGTGTGACTATCATAAAAAAAAAATAATGACATTGAAAAAAAAATAATGACATTGAAGTTTAAGATAATGTTACTTGCCTAGAGACACACAAAGCTGATAAATGGTAGGTAAACCTGGATTCTGAACCCAGCCAGAACTTTCTGTCCCCTGCCTTTCCTGTACAAATACTCATACGAATTGAATCACGGAGGGGGCTAGGGGTATCTGGAAGAACTGTAATCTGCTCACTCTCGGTTTGTATCAACCATGATATCCCCATGCACATGGACTAAACAGGTCTTTCAGTTAGGTAATTAGGCTGATCACAGGTTTTTATATTCCTCCTCAAGCTAGTACAGAGCTAGTAGATTGGACAATTAATGATCAGTTAAAATATAAAACACAAAGCTTCCCTTAAACTTTATTATCTGTTCTCAGACAAGGTGGCTGACGTGGATAGTATCTGACATGGCTGCAGAGTTACTCTAATAGAATCTTTAAAACTCACAGGCATGGTCCCAGAAGAGAAATGGTGTCCTCTTGAAAGAGTTATGTAGAGCAGCCTGGAAAATCAATTGTGACCAAATATTTCGAACTATATTGATATAAACACTAAATATAGCAATTGTAGTTATGAATATCTAACCACGTCTTCTTACAAATGTATCCCACATTTGCTTACCAAAAATATTGCATCTATCTTCTGGTATATATAACTTAATATTCTTTCTGAGAAATCTGTCATAACCAAAGGCTATGTACACTGTATTACCTTCAGTTGTGGTTCTTACAGAGTGCGGAAGGGTATTTGCCCAACCTGCTCAAATATCTGTCATTTTTGCAAAGGCCATTAGGTGTTTGATCAGGGTTACATAGCTATTCTGGTATTGTCTTACAGTGAATTTTTTTTTTTTAGTTCTATCTATCTATCTATCTATCTATCTATCTATCATCTATCTATTTATTCATTCATTCATGATAGACACAGAGAGAAAGGCAGAGACTTACGCAGAGGGAGAAGCAGGCTCCATGCTGGGAGCCCGATGTGGGACTTGATCCCGGAACTCCGGGATCACGCCCTGAGCCAAAGGCAGATGCTCAACTGCTGAGTCACCCAGGTGTCTCTCTTGTAGTGAATTTTATTAGTTACTGCAAATATCATAAGAATGACATGATAGCACTTCCTAATCAATCGATTGACTTATTAAACTCCGATGGAAGTTTTGTCACTTTAAGTTACAAACAATATACTTAAATATTCTTATTAGCTGGACTAAGATGGAAATTATTATGTATATAAAAAAACATTTGTAGGGTGGCTCAGTGTTTGAGCATCTGCTTTTGGCTCAGGGCATGATCCCAGGGTCCCGGGATCGAGTGCCACATTGGGCTCCCTGTGAGGAGCCTGCTTCTCCCTCTGCCTGTGTCTCTGCCTTTCTTTCTGTGTCTCTCATGAATAAATAAATAAAATCTTTAAAAAAAAAAAAGAAACACTTGTAATATTTTTTGTGGAGATTTTAATTTCATTTGATTAAAAGTCTCAGTATTTCAAAACAATTTGGTAATTAGAAAAGCAAAATTTTGAAATAAGATATGCTGAATTAGATGTTTCAAGCAACATAACTGTCAACTTCTTATGGGAGAGTTTTCCTTTATAAGTAGGGTCTTTTTGATCTAATTAATAAAACTTAACTATGTTAAATTGGCTCAAGAAAAAGAATAAAGAGATTTTTAGTACATATTTTCATTATACTTATTTTAAAAAGCAGTTCTCCCTGTCTAATGAGCAATTATTAATGTTCGCTACAAAATTGTTTTGATAGACAACCACATATTATAAAGGTTAAAACGCGTGCAGTTTCTTTTATGTCTAATTTTTGGTTTTGCTTTATAAGAATGATTTATCAGAATTTCTGTTTTTTTAAAATCAGCAGATCATATATGGAAATGATTATCTTGTATGAGATGCAACTTTGCTGAGGGTAGAAAATAGCAAAATTTAATAAAGGAATGGTAAAATTTTAATTTATACTGTATGTTCCATAGGCTGCAGACTTCTAGAAAGTGAAATCATGTTTTTGTCATTGATAATAATTCTTCCTGTATAAAAATATGTCGCATTTTGAGAGAGTGATTACATTACTAAAACTTGATAAATACAAACTGATTTCACGCAGAGGTGGTTTATGACATTCTTTGGGTAGAGATCAGTTGGCAGTAGAAGATAATATTTGTTGGTTTTATTTTTAAGGTAGTCCATCTTAAATTTGAGGGAATCGACTCTCAATTACAAATGTTTACAGAAGATTTTAAAGTTGTAAGATACTATTTTGGATTATTGGCTTTAAAAATCTGGGGTGACTATTTTGGTAATTACTTCACTAAGACCACATGGCCAAACCAGTTTCTTGCTTGTGACATCAAAGGAACAAATATTTGGCAATTTCCCATTTGTTAGCAGGTGGTCTTTTCCTGTTAGTGACACTTGAATGAAGTGTGACTAACATTCTTTCCTTTGGCCATTGCCCCAAGAATGATTCCCAGTGAAACTTCTTGGCTTCTGGTGATTTTCACGTGTAATATAACAACAAGAAGCAAGCAAATACATAATATTTAATGTGTTCCAGACATCGTTTCTAAGTACTTTAAATGTGTTTACTCACCGAATTCTCATAACAACTCTGTGTGGTAGCTACAATTTTCATCTCCATTTTAGAGGTGAAGAAACTCAGACACAGAGAAATTAAGTCACATGAGCAAGTGACATATGATTGGCAAAGCAGGATGT